GGCGGGACTTGTACTTTTTTCCAAGAAGACGATGATTTTCTTGCTTAAAACAATGTCGTTTAGAGTATAAGACGACGTCGTATTATGTGATTTAATCCACAAAACGCCAAGGGTAAAAAAGGTAAGTAACAGTAAACTGAAAAAACAGAGGCAAAGAGAAGAGACCGTTCCAACTTCTAAACTAGTAAAATCGACAAAATAAAAAACTTTAATCTATATTGATACTATTATACACACTTTTTTATTTAAACACACGAAAAATTGTTGAGAAGAAAAACTCTAACAATATAGAAATGGCAAAATGGGTGCAAAATAAAACCACATTTTCTATTTTTGTACTGATTTTTTTTAATAAAAACTATCTCTTATAAGTTGCAACCAAGCTCACATCTTCTTCTTCAAGTTTTTGCTCCTCAAGCTCTATAAGTCTCGCAAACACACCGACCAAAGGAGCAGTATTGTACGTACAAGCCTCTGTTTGAACGTAATTATCCCTCCGGTCATCAAATTCATCATGTTCATCCGGCCCTCCGACCAAAGCCCCGACTAAAACACTCGGATTTGGCTCAGACCGTCCGTACCAATTATCATATCCTTGAGTACATCCAATAAACCCTTTGTGTTCTTTAAAAGAAGCGATAGACGCGCCTCGATGATGAACCCTAGTCGGGTATTTTGGACCGTACCCGACAAGATAGCTTGTTTCCATCGGATTCGATCCTAAAATGTAATCGATTTGGGATTTCGCAAAGCCAAGCATCTCATCAGGAGTTACGGTTCCTTCGTGACACTCGAGATCGGTGTTTGATTTTCGGAGATGATCCGAATATACGGTTAGGAGGAAAGATGCGGTGGATACGTATTGCATATTGTTCCATTGCCGGACGTAGAGTAAACCAGCCGGAGTTCGCTGAACGTTTGTGCCGTTGATATTCTTGTTGAGAATTGAGCATAGGTAATGATCCGCCTTTGATTTGTATTGTTGTAGGACTTTAGAATGTTGCTTGTGCTTTTCTTCTTTTAGCAACTGAGATATGAGGCAACAAACCATAAATAAATAAAATAAAATAAAAATATTTAAAAGAAAACAAGTTAGTGTTCATTTGAAAAAAAAAAAATATGTTAATAAAATAGTAACACCTACTCCATATTGTTAATTAGCAAGTAATTAAATTGATTTTAATTGAATCTTCAGCCAACTAACTTACTTTCTTTATATAAAGCAGCAAATACTTTTCAATTTTTTGGTGAATTAGAAGTATAATAGTGTTAGTGCTTAAACTTTAATAAATTTCGTTGACTAATTTATGCATAACATAAATTTTTTAAAAAATTATGCATAAGATAGCTGATTTATCAAGTAGGTTTAAAATCACGTGCCATGAAACAGAACCATTTAAAGAGACGTATCCGCTTATAGGAACAAAAACACGTGACCTTTAGCTCTGGTTCTGCTTCATAACTAACTTTTTTTCTAAATGCTAGTACTAATATTTAGTTACAAAGTATTTCATTTAATTTGTTGCATACAAAGAGAAAATATTTGAATAGTTGTTGTACATATGTAACGTGGGGGTGGGGAATACCTTACTTTTGGTAATTCAACGTGAGAACGTTAAAACTTGATAATCACTTCACATATAAGGCAATAATAAGATTCTACTTATCTTATTAAATTAGACTAATATAAGAGGTTAGTGCTATAAATATTTCCCTTTACCAAAAAAAACAGTTGAACAATATTTAAGCACTAACCATGGAAGCGAGGAGCTGAACGCCGGCGTACTTGACGTCCCAGCTAAACTCGGACATGGCCCAAGAAAGGCCACCTAGTTGGTGAGCCATGTCAACCACATAACTCATATAGTGCTCATTGTCGGTGGCTCGATAAAGCCACGTGGCACCCCATAAAAGCTCGTCCATGTACCCACTCACCGAGGCATAATAACTTTTCACAACTTTGAGACTCTCATCGTATTTTCCTCTGTACTTGTCTCCAAACCCAAACAACTACAACCAAAACCATAACCATAGCTAAAAGTAAATAAATGTCATACCCAAAAAACATTAAAATGTCGGTTCCAAGTTCCAACTGTAACATTAAATTAAATTTAAAATGAGTATATGTACTTGTTGGGCATGGTGCAAGAGAAGGTGAGAGTAATGTGGATTTGTTGAACGGAAAACGATCGAAGCTGCCGCCATAGCCGCGGTGGTTTCCCCGGCGATATCTGAACCAGGATTGTTCTCGTCGATCTTGAAAGCTCGCCGTGAAGTCGTCATGTCCTCCGGTCTTTGCCAACAGTAGTGGTCAGTGTCACCGTCGCCTACTTCGGCCCATAAGACATTTGGGCTTGTGTGTGCCTTGATGAAGTAATCTGTTCCCCACTTGATGGCTTCGAGCGCGTGAGATAACTCGCCGGTGGAAGCGAGTGAGTCACCGTACTCTATTACACTCCATGATAACATCGTCACCGTGAAAGCCATGGGCAGTCCAAATTTAACATGATCACCGGCGTCGTGATATCCTCCCACTAAATCCACCTTTAAAACCAAAATTTTAAAATTAAACACATCAATATATAAAACAAATTAAACAATTAATTTCAAAATTTTGAAAGGCTTTTCAAGTCCTCATTTCAAACCAAAGAAAATAATTTCTCAATATGGAAATCAACAATAAATTTCAATATTAATTAGCTTTTATTGTATTAATTAGTTAGAGATTTTCATAACTCTCTTATCAAAATTGAAACTAATAGAAAATTAATTAACAATTAAAGAAATGATTTTGAGTTTTTGACAAAAAAAAACAAACCCCTTGTTCAAGACCATCGGTGAGACCAGAGTGATCACGCCACGTCACGCGCTGGTTATACGGAAGTCTCCCTGATCTCTGAGCTTCAAAGTAGAGTAAGCTTTTAGACAATGCTTCACCGTAGTCAAACCTTCCGACGTCTGTCTCCGACGAAACACCGGCCAACACGGCGGAGAAGACAGTGATCAGAAGGAGAAGGAGGAGGAGAAAATGGCATGGCTTGTGTCGGTGATCCATCACAGTCATTTTTTGAAGATCTCTTTCTTTAGAAAGAAGTCTCTGTTGGAGATGAAGAGAGAGAGAGAAAGAAAGCGATGGACTCTCTCACTCACTAGTCTCTCTCTAGTCTCTATTTTCTCTGCTCTCGGAGGAGAGGGATATATTTGAAAGCTCTGTGGAGTGGTGGAGGAAAGAGTGAGAGAGAGATGATGACGTGACTTTTATTTTTCTTCTTCTTTATTTTTTTTTGTTTGGTAACTTTTCTTTTTAATCTGAAATATTTCACATGAGAAAATGTCGAGATTTTTGCCTTTTCCACATAGTGGTAATCGCCGTAATTTATGCAGCTAGTTATTGCTTTTGTTGTGCTAATGTAGACGAATTAATTTTAAAGTGCAAGTATAAAATAATTATATATATTACACTTGTTGAAATTTTAGATTTGTATTGTGAGGGTGTTTTATGATACTTTTCCTAATGATTTCAAAAGGTGGTAATAATTTCAACTTATTTAGCAATCTTGTGTAATTTTATAAACTATAGGGAGAAAGTCAGTTGTCCATAGTGTAAGAGCATGTTAGTGTGAGTATCTCTTTTACTCTCTCAAATATATTATTTTAATAATTTTTATTTAATCTATTTTTATTTAAAATTTAAAATAGAAATAAAATTCATAATCAATTATGTTGAAATATATTTCAAATAGTTTTTACAAATATTTTCAAAGTCTTTCAAATGAGAGATTCACACTAAACATGTTCTAATAGACTAAGGTGGTGTTATTCGATGATGGATTTTAATAGAATTGAAATCTAACACTAATCCAGTGTTATTCAACTAATGATTCTAAATCTAACTTTAAAATCTGGTGTTATTGGATCTTATACTTCATTAGATTTTAAAAGTTTGGTGTTATTCAACTAAGATTTAAAATACTTTACTAAAATCCAGTGTTATTCAAAACTAAAAGACTTGTAAAATCTTTGTATATTAAAACATTTGAAATGAAACCTCTTTGGAATTTCATGAGTAAATGATTAGAATCAAAATCCAAGATATACTGCAGAGATTTTGAAATCCACACAAACAGATTCTTAAGAACAATATCAGAAAGCAAATCTAAACTTTAAAGAATTAACTTTAACTCCATCATTGAATAACACCTCCTAACAGTTAAAATGAGTATGTGGATGATTTGTCTCTTAATTAGTTTCTCTGTGGAATCATAATTATTTCAAGTTTTCATGAAACGGTCCAATTAATTAATAGACTAATTATTATAAATTAATTGGGGAGAACTTCTCAATTAATTATTGTCATTAAGTGCCTAGGGAATTAATTAATTGGGGAGAACATTTGACGGAGAAGACTAAGGAATTTTCGGAACCGTCAAACGTCATTGCTAGTCAGAGATTCATTACTGTCGTTAAGTGCCTTATTGCCTTAAGGCTGCTGTAGTGCTGTGTTAGGCAAGAGAATCGTGAATAGTAAGCTAATTTCTCAAATAAAAAACTTGGTTTTGGCTGCATTCAGTGTTAGAAACTACAACGGTTAGTACATTTATATAATATCATATTTAAAAAAATATAATATGATTCAAGTAACAAATCGCAAATGTTAAAACTCAAACTTGTATCCATATGGGTATGAGTATGACTATTAATTTAGTCACATCTATTCATTACTAAACCAAAAACTCCAAATATTCAAAAAATTTTGTGGATCTAAATGGGTTTTAAAGATGGACCTGGATCATATTAATAGT